GGGTGTTTGAATATTCATCAAATAGAATATTTAATTAGATTTTTCCCTTTTAAACCAACAGAATTTTTTGTAGGTGTTGATCAACAGCCGATTGGTACAGTTAAGTGTGAAGTATATGAAATAGCATTTGCTGTAAATTAAAAGATTAATTTATGAAACTGATAATAATATAATGAGCAAGCATTTGATATCATTTTTTGAAAACAATTAATTAAATCATTTTCCGGCAGTTAGAATGTCTAATATTAGGATTTCGATTTGTAGAGAATCATTGAAATTGTCTTTTCATAAATCGTAATTTTATTCATTTACAATTTTATATGTATCGTCTTTCATAGAGAAGAAAAAAGCGTGGATTGCCACATGTGCGTTTAACTAGATGTTTACGTACACAAATTTGCGATTCAGAAACTTTAAATAAAATGATATGTGCTGAAATCACAGACGAAATAAAGAATCCAGAACTTTATAACGTCATTGTAAAGCGATTTTAAGTTCATATGGGCCTTGTAGTAAACAAAATAGGACTTCACCCTGCATGGATCCTGAGATGGGTCAATTAAATGTATTGCTGACAATTCGATGATCGTAGCATATAATCTTTATTTGAGTACAAAATTTAAAGGTCATATTTACTGTGCAATAATAGGTATTATATTATTATAACACCATAAGGTTGAAATAGTAATACAGTAATCATTACAAAAATAATATTATTATTTTTGTGAGATCAAAATTCTAATAACTGTCCGTCAAATAAAAATAAATTTTTAATTTTTTATAAAAAATTATAGATACCACGCGCGTTTACGCGCGTTTCTTTTAGCTAGTTTAGATTATAATGTTTGAAATTTTTTAAATGTTCTACGCCTTTATATTATCTGTAAATTTTAAATCGCTTAAGTCGGAGAAGTTATTTTCTTATCTGAAAAGCCGATAAGTTCATGAATTTCAAAATTAGATAATTATATTCTTTAGATGGCTTCTTAAGTGTATCATAATAATATTCCCAAAATTTGCATTCGTGTCCTTCCTTGTTCACGAATTTTGAGATAAATTGTTCTTGATTTGTGGCAAGGTAAACAAACGATGTTTCAAATAAATGTTTATTGTCTTTATCGACATATTGCTTCAAAATTTCTTCTGTCAATGTCTCCAAAGTATAATCTACGTTTTCTTTTAAAGTAATTTTTCTTTTTCCTCCTAAAGAACCAGTAGTACCAAATGATCCTTCAAAATTTTTTTTTGTGCCACCAAGTAAAGAAAACATGTTTCTTTGTTTCTTTGACAATTTTTTGCTGGCGTTTATTACCAATTTTTGGACCAGACTGAAAATCATAATCTGCACTTAAAATTATCATCATTAAAATAAATGGTTTATAAAGAATTTATATAACAAAAAGCAAACAACCATTTCTTAAAGTCTCGATTAAAGTTAAAGATAAGAACATATATAAAATATCATTTATGACAATTAAATAAAAATGCAACAGATAAAGCAATTACTTGGTAATGTTTGAAATTAGAAACACTTTACCGTTTTCTTTTTAGTCGATTTCTCCAAATCATTTTTATCTAATTCACTACATATTTCGTGAAACCTTTTCCTCTTGTTTGCACCAAGGTCCTTTGGAATTGGAGTAACTAAAAGAGATATTAAAATCATTAGTGTATAAATGTTTTATTTAACAAATTATTTATAACATTAAAATTAGCATAAATGGTTAACAAGATAGTAGCTTTAAAAGAATTTTACTTAAAAAATATTAATTTTATTAAACAAATGCAGTTATTTTATTTGAGAATATTAAAAATTCTAAGTAAGAATAAGAAATTTCTGTACGCCCTCATGAAAAGGGACCACTTTAGCACTAACTATTAAATTATTAAACATAAAATGTATTATCAACTAAAATTATTTATTTCTTAAAAGGTGATAAAATTATAAGAAAAATAAGACCTATAAGAAGTGATTAATCCATGATAAAATTCCGTACCTGTTGATACAACAACGTCGTAAACCTCGACATTTTGCTCTAAATGATAGTGATGCTCATCAGTTTCCAACAAAAATGTTTTTCCATTTTCAGAATATTCCAATTTGCTTCCTTCTGGATAATTTTCGGTGATTACCGATTTTTTTAGCAGATTATCTTTAACCTTCACGTATCTAATATTGTTTTGAAATTTTATTTCAACGGTTCTAGAATTTTGATTCATCTATAATAACAAAATTATATTAAAATCAGTTTTCAATAACAATTTAATGATATAAACTTTAAAGTACATTAATTGTTTTATTAACGTTAAATGTTTATTGAAATCTTATATATATTTTGTACCTTAATTAAATTAACTTTGTTTAATAAAAATTGTTTGATATATAAAAGTTCTGTACAATTTGCCTAAAATGCGATCAAATTGAATTGTTTATTTTTGTTCATAGTAATAAAATAATAAAATTATACTTAAAGTACATGTTTTAAAATTACGATTTAATTCAAGTTTCAAAACTCTCATGAAGAAAAAATTCTTTTCTTAACTTTCTTGGCAATAAGAAAATATAATTAAACCACAAAATAAATAAATAAAAAAAATTACGCATATGCTTGGTTTTGAAGAATTTTACGTTTTCAAATAGCGGATAATTTAAAAAGGAATTTTTCTTCATTGAAAATTAATTTTAATAACAATAAAATAATAATTTATAATTATGATTTGTTGGAATTTCATTGCAAAACAAAATTTCTAAGTTATGCGATTAAAATAGAGCACTTTGGATGTTTTCGTCAATCACTGGCAGTAACTAAAACCAGTGAACAGTGGTACTCAATGTGAAAAGATGTTGGCTTTTCAGTAATTGGTCACTTTCCGTAATAGCACCTTAAAGTCGTTTTCTGTTTGGCGCAGAAATTGCAGCCTTCAGAGAGCCTGCGACAAAATATGAAACGTGCCATAGGTTTTTTCGAAACGTAACCTATTTTTCGGTGTTTTCTTCGAAATTCTACTCCCACCACTCAACTCTGTTGCTTTAAATTTGCTGCCAGTTACTGGATAATTTTTCTAAGCAGTTAAGAACAGCAGTAATCCCAGTAATAAAAAATAAAAAAAATTATCACTTTTTTTACACTTGTCTAACGCGTGTCTAATTGATTAACATTCAATTAAGAAATTAGACATCACAGAAAATAGTTGGCAAATCTTCGATTGTCTCCATAAAAATAATCAAGAATCGAAGATTTCAATTTTAACCAAATAACCACGAGTTTTATGCAATTTGTGCAGATTTTGTGTGTGTCTCAAATTTATTTTTTGTCGTGATGTCGCATTATTAAACACGCGTGGTTCATGAATTGTTGGTTCCTAATTGTAAATACAAGTGACAACAACAACAACTAAACACAAATATTTTGGACGACAAATGAAATAAACAAAATAATCGAATTATCTTAAAGGAATAAGTTGTCATTTCAAAGAAGGAAAAATGGCAGAAGGTTTGTAGTCTTTAAAATTTTTAAATAATTTACATTTTCTTCAAAGATCCATTATTTTATGTATATATTTTAAAAGAATAGAATTATGCGTAAAAAGTAAAGCAAATCCGTAGAATTGCGACGTTAACTTATTTATTTTAATTATATTTTAAAAGATTTTAATCTGAAAAAATACTATTCAATTATTTCTGAATATTAAATTAAAATTTTTATAAATTGTCTAATTATTTAATCAAATTATTTTAAAAATTGTACATATATACATACATTAATTTCATATTTAAAATATTTAAGAAATGCTTATCAAATCGTATGAAAATTGTCATTTATTTATTTTATTGATTTTTATTCTTATTTATTCTATATTTCTTAATTTGTTAAAAAAACGACAAATGGAAAAAAAATAAACTGCAAAATTATCGGCAACTATTGATGAAAAAGTGAAAAACAGCGCGATTTTGCTGTTTACTTTTTTCAGTGCATTTGATTTTGACTCATGTGTAAATTATTTGTAGTTCTTTAATTAAAATTCAAGTTGCAATAATAAAGTTTTTTGTTTCAAAAATAAAGCTATTGCTGATGAACAAATAGTGTTGTCGATTATGGCAGCTGTTGTCATGATTTTCGATGACGAAGAGGAAGAAGAAGACGAGGCACGAATTTTAATCGCAGCGGCTTCAAAGGAAAAAGTCCAAATTCCTAAAACGGAAGACTATTTCGAAAGTATAATTCCAAGATTCTCAAACTCAAGTAAAGTATACTAAATAATAATTATAAATTATTTTATTAAGAAATTAGTATTTAAAATTTTTGAAAAGACTATTTTTGCGAAGAATTTTAGTCGATAAAAAAAAATTGCATAATTTTAGGAGACGAATTTTTTTTTACTAATTTTTGATAATTATTAAATTAGGTAGGGGAAATTTAAGTTGAAAGTTTTAGAAAAGAATTACTGAATTTATTGAAAATATACAGTTAAAATAGATATTTAAAGGAATTCAAATTCAGACGATATAAAAGTGGAATGTTTGCAAAAATCTAATGAAATAAAAAAATTTCAGATAAGTAATTGATAATAATTGAAAACTGTAGTAAATGACTCCATTTGTAAAAAGATTTGTTTAAAATTATTGAAACTAATTAATTTTATGAACAACTTTAGAAAAAAAATAATTGAATTTTTGAAAGATTAACAACTAAACTGCTGTTTGAGAATATTTTTAAGTAAAAAAATTAAAATGTTCATACTTTACGTCTGAAAAAGTGGATATTCAAATTTTACAGAACAATTGAATATTTCAGTTTTGTAAATTAATATTTTATATTTAAAAGAGATGTAATTATAATTTTTAACATTAAAGCTCTGAAACAATATTATAAAATACATTTTTTATAATCTAGAAACAAATTCTCTTAAAATGAAAAAACATTATGTTTAAAAGGCATCACGACTTTACACAGCATTTCAGTTGAAATAGTTTTAGAAAATATTGATATTAGGAGAACTTATATAAAAATTTTAGAATATATTTAATCGTATGAATTACTTAATAATTAATTAAACATCTTCTGTGAATGATTAAATTTTTAAAGAGTTTTCATTAAAATTTTTTAGATTAATTCCATTTTTAAAGAGTTACAATTGAAATTTTTGTCATTATAATTAAAACTGAATTAATGATTAAGAATTAAAAATTTGCAACAATAAGTTGTTAATCAATCGACGATTTTAACATTTTTATCCAAAAGCCTAAAAAAATCGAGTGTTTGAGAAATTTTACTTCAAATTTTTGAATGTACAATTGATGAGAACACTGTATAGGTATGGAATTCTGGGTCCATCGTGTACAGAAATGGGACCCATCAACAATATTGACCCGCAACATTTCTAGATGGGTTTCATCAAAATGTACATACACGAGGATCCCAAAGTGGACAGTGTTCTTTTCAAAGGCATGTGATTGATAAATTTTCAAATAATTACAATTTTGAAGAATTATTAGTTTTAATTACGATTTAATGACAATTGGTAATTATTTGCAGCTTTTCGCAAACATTTTAGAATGAATAGGACTACTTTTGAAAATTTGAGTCTGATGCTGAGTCAGGATATTATTAATTTTGCTCCGTACTCGATTATGGTACGGTATTGTACGTCTGGTATTGATTGGAACACATTTTTTTATATCACAATCAGAAGAGTGAATTTTATGGTAGCTCTTCTATAGTTAAGATAGTAATTACTCTAATAATACTCATTAAGAAAAATTTCCATAAAGTTAACAGTAACTTTTTCGTCACAGGAATAATCGAGTACGGAGAAGAAAAATACTCATTATGCGTACATAAATTTTTGTGCGCAACTAAAACTGAAAACAACAAGAAGAGAACGGTTTCAAAATGTAACAAAACAATCATCGTTTTTCATTTTTCACTTCAAATTTAAGTTATTTACTTTATTTGTTCCGAAACTGATCAATTTTAAACTAGAAAGACGTGAAAATATCAATTCTTTGAAAAATAACTTGAAATCGGTTAAATTCAAGCACAATAAATTCTTTTTAAAAAAATATCAAAACGTCTATGAAATATCAGCGGTTAAGTTTCATTTCTAACGCTGTAAAAGGAGAACAAAAATAAGTCGACTTATCGTCTCTTAATTAACGAGTCGCGGACATCTTTCATTATGTCCAATAGTGCGTCTTTTCGCTCCAAATTTTCTTTGTGACGAAAATTGGCATCATCGTTCATTTCTGTCATCGAACATTCTGCATCCGGCTTCTTTGCCTTTGCGCGCTTTAATCTTTTTGGAGAAATTTCGATTTCATTACCATTAACATCAATTATGGAAGAAACTTTTCGTTTGTATCCTGCCAGACTCGAAGCCACTGCCGGCGGATTTATTTCGGGCCTTTTGTACATAAATTTATGCATTTCCTTGAAGGAAGTCGACTTTGACTCCTTTGACGGACTTGTTCCGGTTTGTTTACTCCGATCAATGGTGTTTTTGTAGGTTCTACATAACGAATCCCATTTTGATTCACATAGATGCGCACTCACATCATGTCCCTTTTCTACCATTACTTTTGAAAGAAGCGACCAAAACTTCTCCCCTTTTAACTTGCATGTCTCTTTTAGTGACGAATAACAATTTATCAATGCCTTGGTCATGTCAGGTGTCCACTGTGTACGCGTTTTCTCTAAAACAAAAAAAGTAGAATATTGAAATAGTACAATCCACAGCAATTAATAATAAATTATTTGAAAATATATTAATTTAAATTACAAAAAATTTACTTTTCAATTAAAAAGCTTACTTGGCAGTATCTTTTCGTTTCCCTCATCGCCACAACGTGGTTTTGTCATTTTTCCCTTGCCAACAAATTTTTTTAATTCCGTTTCTGCAAAGAAAAAAGAAACAAAAAAAACGAAAATTAATTGAATAAATCGTAAGTTTTAAATTAATTGCAATGTTTATTAAACTTGTGTAAAGATTTAAATGTCCCAGTTAAATAAATGTTTAACGTAAAACTTTCCTGAACATTTAAATTACATTTTCGCCTAAGTCATTATAGCGAAAATGTATTGGACATGTTCAGGAAAGTTTTGCGCTAAATATTTATTAAGTGGGAAATTTAAATCTTTAAACAAATTTCTATAAACATTGCAATAAAATATTTCGAAAATTTAAAGTAAATCTTTAGGAAATTTTCAGGAAAGTTTCGCTGTTGTGTGGGCTACAATACACAGTGTATTAGCATGTATTTTTTCTCAACGAATCTTAATTTTCAATCATAATAGTCATATTGGTATTAAATTTCGAAATAAACTCAAAAACTGCTAAATAACACAAAAACAAGAAAATTTTTTGCCAAGACACTATACTAATGTATTCCGATGTATTTTTTTCCCACGAATCTGAATGTGAAATTAAAATTGCTATATTTAGCTCAAACTTTTAAAATAAATTTTAAAAACTGTCTAAAGACACAAATTTTTGAGTTTATTTCTAAAGGTTAAGCCAATCTGGAAATTCTGGTGTCAAACACCCTGTGTGCCGTTTACGTGATTTTTAGAAAGTGTGCCAGAGTAAAGAATTAATCGAATTTACTGAATATATCTATTACACGAGTCCATCTATAAAATACACAACACGTTAAGGTGAGAAGGGGAAAGAAGGGTTGCATATTTTTTTGTGACAATTGTGATAAAGAGGGGGTTGTGTCATCGTTTGTAGTGTGACATTACAAAGTAAAAAAGTAAACATACATTTATGTATTTTATATTATTTGTTTGAGCATATAATTTTTAAATATGTTTAATAAATCATGTTGAGTAAATTATTATTTTTTTCTTTTTTTTGGGCGGGAAGGAGATATTTTCTTCTAATGAAATAGTTTGTAGGAATTTACAAAACACAATTTTTAATAATAAGGACATAACAAAAATTTTTAATACTTTAAAAATATCTTATGAAAAAATAATGATATTTTACTAACATGTTTAAAAATGAAGGGGGGAGGTCAATCAATTTTGAATTTTTGTAAGACAGTTTGTCAAAAATTTGACAAGATGTGCCAAGGGGAGTAGTGGGGTTAAAAAAAGGAAAGAACTGTGTGTGTTACTGACGACCCCGAACCAATTTTTTATACTTTCATTATTCTGACGTAAACATTTTCATCAAAAACCCCTAAGTACCTCTGACTCAAATTTAAGAGCAATTGGTTACAATTTTTGGTTTTTCAATGTTTTTGTCTGCAAAAACAATTTTATCCTATTACATCTAGGCATGTGCGGTAAATCGGTATACCAGTTTACTTTCAAAGTTTTTGTGGAAACCGGTGGTCGGTTATGAAATCCCGGTTTTCGGTTTTTTTAAACCGGTTTTTCGGTAGATGCCGGTTTTATTATTATTATTTTTTGTGATTAAGCAACTGTTTAGAACCGTTTTTTTACAAATATATTGGTATTTTAAATATACCGTTTTTAATATAATTAATAATCCGTTTTTGGATTTTCAATTCTACACAGGTCTGCCTACATCTCGGTTAAAAGTAGAAAATGTTTGCAAAATTATGCTCAAATGTGACAAAATAATATGTAATGCCCACTTATATGTAGGCCTCAAGCAGTCCATTAAAACATGAATAATATTATGTAAATTTTAGATTTCTTGATTGATATTGTTCTAATTGATATTCTCCTAAGTAAATTTATAAACCAACCTAAATCCATTTTCTCATCATTCTCCTGACTCTGCTCCTGATCCTGAACCTGATCATGATCCTGATCTTCATGCTGATACTGATCCTGATATTGATCTTGATACTGATATTGATCCAGCTCTTGCTCCTGTTCTGCTTCTTCGAGGTCGTCCTCATCCTGTCCGTAATCAAGTTGATCTTGATCAGCATTTGACGTAATTGCGACAAGATATGGCGGTGGCGATATGTCCATATTTGGCACCTTTTCAGGTGGCAAATATATAACGGTTTCTCGTCCTAAAATGAACATAAATATTCAACTAATTTAAAAAAAAATTAACGATGTTTCCAAGGCTTTTAAGGTATAGCAAATAAATATTTTCGAGGATCACCATTATGTTATTCGTAAAATTGTAAATCTAAATTATTTGTAAAATCACAAACTCATAAATTTTTTCTTACTGATGAACTATGTAATTGTTAACGCTTATTACTGCCCTTATAAAGTTTTAAATGTTTAAATGAACAAATTTAAATAATATTCTATTTTAATTTTATATTTTATTATAAAAATTAGCATTTTGAAAAAAAAGTATCTTCAAAATTGAAAAAAAAGAAAATTTAAAATGAGTAAAATATACGGGTTTTAGATAAAAAAATTAAATGAATATTTACTGAATAAGACCCCGAATATCATATAAATAATAATAATAATAGTAATAAATAAACCTTAAATTTTTGGAAGTATAGATCTATTTTCAATTACCTATAACTTAAAAATGCTTGATTTTAAAAATATTTCGCCAAATAAAAAAAGTTTATTTTCTCCTTGACGATTGGGATGCAGTTTACAAAAAATAATATTTTGCATTTTTATTTTAAAAATTAAAATTGTTTATAAACAAATTCATTTTTTCCAATTTTTTTTTCTTAATTTTTTTCTTAATTTTTATCTGAAAATGGTAAGAATAGTTTACATGTAGTTTTAGAGTGGGCCTGATAAAAATATTTGTTAATAATTTGTTTGAAAAAAGCAATTATTTTTTTCGTTTTTAATTTGCATTTTTATGTGTAAAATGTAGGGTTTAAGTGAAAAAAAACTTTTTATTCTAATAAATGAAAATAAGAATTAAGAAAACAGTTTTAAAAATGTATATTAAAAATAATAATTGTTTATAAACAAATTTATTTCTTTGAATATGGGGCGTTTAAAAACTTTTTAGCTTTATTTCTTGTCTAGGAATGGAAGAAACAGTTTGCAACCAATTTTGGAGAGAGAAAAATATTCAAATTGAAAAAAATGAATTTGTTTATAAGAAATGATGTTTTAAATAAAAATTCCAAAATTATTTTTTTTGGTTCACTTTATTTAAAAGTCGAAGAAAAAGCAAATTTTAATCTTTTGACGAAATTCTTCACAAAATCAATCATTTCGAGTCAAAGGTCATTGAAAGTAACCCGAGCCCGACCTGACAAAAATTTAGCCCTATACCCGATTCGAGTTTTCGGGATTTTGCACACCTCTAGAAAGTTCAAAACTTTACAACACCCAATTTATGTTTATTAAACAAGAACAAACTTTATTTGAAATATTAATACAATTTTAATATTGCTTATCGCAAAAAAATTTCTAATGTGCACTGTAAAAATAACTACCCATTAAAAAATGCTTGTGTAATACATTTTTTTAATTGTATCAGTTCATAAAAGAAATTCGTTCAATTACTTCTCTTTTTTAAAATAGTAAAATACGTTCAAAAAATGTTAAATTACCTAATCGAAAAACAAAAAATGAAATAATAATGTTGAGTGTAAACTTATTAACATCAATTAATTTTAAAACTCGTTCATATTTAAATTCTTTTGCCAAATTATATATATAAATTATATTTGGAAAATTCACATTGTTGTGAATTTAATTGAAAGTACGTTACTTACCGTTTGAGTCCAGGGCAAAACACATAATCAAATTGCTGTTGTCGGGATGATGAAGCATTTTACCCGTTGTCGGGTCAAAAATAGCTTCAACCATTTTATAGTGCTTATCACTCATTTTCTTCTATAGTTTGTTAAACAAACTGGTCATCAAAATAAAAAA